ACAGACAGACAGACAGACAGACAGACAGACAGACAGACAGACAGAAAGACAGATAGATAGAAAGATAGATAGATAGATAGACAGACAGACAGACAGACAGACAGACAGACAGACAGACGGATTGATAGATTATTAGACAGACAGACAGACAGACAGATAGATAGATAGATAGATAGATAGATAGATAGACAGACAGATTGACAGACAGACAGATAGACAGACAGACAGACAGACGATAGACAGACAGACAGACAGACAGATGGATTGATAGTTTATTAGACAGACAGACAGACAGACAGACAAATAGATGGATCGATAGACAGACAGACGGATTGATAGATTATTAGACAGACGGACAGATAGACAGATTGACAGACAGACAGACAGATAGATAGACAGACAGACAGACAGACAGACAGACAGACAGACAGACAGATAGATAGATAGATAGATAGATAGATAGATAGACAGACAGACAGACAGACAGACAGACAAATAGATGGATCGATAGACAGACAGACGGATTGATAGATTATTAGACAGACGGACAGATAGATAGATAGATAGATAGATAGATAGATAGATAGATAGATAGATAGATAAATAGACAGATAGATAGATAGACAGACAGACGATAGACAGACAGACAGACAGATGGATGGATTGATAGTTTATTAGACAGACAGACAGACAGACAAATAGATGGATCGATAGACAGACAGACGGATTGATAGATTATTAGACAGACGGACAGATAGACAGATTGACAGACAGACAGATAGATAGATAGATAGATAGATAGATAGATAGATAGATAGATAGATAGATAGACATATAGACAGACAGACAGACAGACAGACAGACAGACAGACAGACAGACAGACAGACAGACAGACAGACAGATAGATAGATAGATAGATAGATAGATAGACAGACAGACAGACAGAAAGACACACAGACAGACAAATATCTGATTAATTCCTGAGAAAAAAAATCCTAACCTACTTCATTTTAAAATTGAATATCCTTTTGCACTCACAAAATGCCACATTATATAACGACTTTGACCACAATTAATGAAGCCCGAGCTGATAAAGAGCTGCTCTTACAGACATCTGCAACTCTCTCCTGTTTGACAGACTGCTAGCTTTCGCACCGCAAATAGAGCACTATTTAATTATTGAGCGTACGGTCTGAAAAACAGCAGGGGCAAGCGAGGAGAGAGGAGCAACCTTTCATTGAGTTCCTCTGATCTCCTGCAAGACAGAAACAACATGTTCACGGCAGACAGAACCCACGCACACGATGAGCCTGGACGAATTATTACTGCCTCAAAGTTTGCAAAACAATCAAGACTCGAAAAAACGAGCTGGAAACGGATGCTGGCATTCACCATACTACTGTATATATAAGATGAATCCATATTACATTATTTAAGCGTTAAAGTGCCCTCAGCGTGAAGTTATTTCCACTCAACAAGCATCAAGAGCTGTCATTAAAACATCTTTGCTTTGGACCAGCCTCCCTCCGAGTCTCCCGAACATCATAATCCGGCCCGGCAGCAAGAGAGATGTGATCGTTATTATCTTAAGACCAAAGCCATCTGCCTACAAGCTTTGACATTGAAGGAGAAAACCAGTAAATTGGATTTTGGCAGGTATTATCTGTTAGAGAGATGTATGGAAAGCCCTGGATACAGCCAAGAGGGTAAACAAGAGCAGCAAGGAGAGAAATAAAGATTGCGCGGTAGACATTCATGAAAAATGACCCCTTGTGTTTAAAGAAAGAGGGAGAGGGATAAAATATTACAGGGAAATTTTGATTGACTGGCTTTTGTTTGCTCTGGCTGTCAAAGATTAGACCCCACGAAAACTGAGAGGAAGACGAGATGCACTTTGAGGAAGCACAACTCGTAAGATGTCATGTCACGATAACATTTCATTGATCACAGAGGCGGCTGAGGAACCATGATGATTTGAAGGAAATATAATACACATGTATTCTTTCTGACACCAGGCAATATTAAGTGGCCTGCAAAAGATCCAGACTGATTTAATCTAAAAATAATAATAATCAACAAACCATGGCTCACTGTATCCTAAGTGGCATTGTGTAATGTATTAGGTCAATGAACCGTTAACACAATCATCCTCTGAACATCTCGGTTAAAATGCTGGCAGTGATCAATGACATTAAAGCTTTGGAGTCTCACTTTAGGTACAGAAAGCAGTGAAGCTGGAGTAACGGTCGTCTGGGACCATCTACATATCACTAACAACAAAGCAAACAATACATAAAAACCAGGTGATTATTAATTATTATCCTAAAACAGTTACGTAAAGAACGAGATAAGAACCGATTTTTTTCCCCCAACAATTCACAGCCTGGTCTGTCTTGGGTATGCTGGTAACATGATTTCCTTCAAGTTTTCTGTGATCAATTAGTCAGCCTGACCTAAATCCAACATGGCTGCCAGTGGTGCAGGACATTCAGACTTTGAGGTAAGTAAATGTATATTAAACGTACTTTTCTTCTGGAAAATACTGCTAACATTAATTGTGAACATTGTCTTAAGGTGCTGAAGAAGAAAATTAAGTCATATGTTGTTATTTAGCATGTTTTTAAATGTATGTAACGTTGCCTGTTTAGGATATGAAAAAAAGATTAACTCTCATTTTGACCATGTTAGTATTTTGACAAAGTAATTTTTTTTTTTTTACAAATTATAAAATTTACAGGTTAAACCGACATTAGTATTGTCTAGGTGACTGTATCTTAGGCCCCGTCCACACTACTTGGTTTTCGTTAAAAAATTGAGAATTAAAACGAATACGATCTCTGTCCACACCAGCGTTTTATCTACTTATTAGAATTGATGGGCCTTAGTATTTTGACTGGATTCTTTCATTCAGGGCTTCACATTTAGCTCATTTTTACGGTAGAAGGAATGAGAGTAGAGAAAATGGATGCAAGTTATATAGCAGATACCAGAAAACTGTACCAGATTCTAAGACAAGTGATAAAGATGATGTTTTTGTCAACCTGCCAGGAGAGGTAGATACAGAGAGCGACAGTGACAGTGACAGTTCTGCTGAGGAGGTTGAAGATGTGACAGCTCAGCAATGTAAAAGAACCAAGAATTGTAGGTACTTCTTTTCCTCATGTCAGGCATGCATTCTGCTGAATGGTAGCAGGCGAGAGGCCTCTACATGAATCAAATATAATTCACATTGAGACAGTATACAAAATAAATACATTTTTCAATTAATTGATCAAATTGTTAGTGTATTATCTAAAACATTTATTTCGTTTTTGCAGTTGGAGGAAGAAAAGTTTTGAGTGAAAATACGTTCAGAACGCCTGATCAGCTTTCATCTCCTTGCAGCTAATTCACAAGGTTTTTCAACTTATTGCCGAAAAAAGTCATCTGTACTCTTGCCAGTTACGTGGAACTAGCATTAACACAAATCCGAATGAAGTGAGGTCATTAATTGGGATGAAAACTCATCATGGGTATTGTGAAGATGCCATCAGTTGATTATTACTGGGCTGGGGGTAAACGTTACCAAACAATTGCCAATGTGATGTCCATAAAGAGATTCCAATGCCTCTACAATTTCAGGGCAATGCCACGTCAGACCCAGATCAAGATCGGCTCTTCAAAGTCAGACCAGTCCTAGAACATATGAGGGGAAAAAAATTCTGGAAATTGAGAGTAAGAATCAGTTCTCAATAGATGAAATGATGGTGCCTTACAAGGGCATCAAGGCGGGTTCTCTGCGCAAGTATTTGCCTAGCAAACCTCATCATTGGGGGTTCAAGATATTTGTACGTGCAGGTGTTTCTGGCATGGTCTATGATTTCCTGGTATACACTAGTAAGAGCACATTTGGTGCTGAACAAGGACCTGCCAAAAAGCTTGGACTTGGAGCCAGTGTTGTTGTTGAACTCTGCAAGACCATCAACAACCCAATGGAGTGTGTTGTCTACTTTGTAGGGTTGGGTATCGGTTGGGTTTGATCCGATACCAGTACCTACTCTGTATTTTTTAAACGGTTTCCGGTGTTTAAACTGTTCTTGAAATGGTACTTAAAGTCCCCATGAAATCAAAATTGACCATACTTACTTTGTTTGCCTAAATTGATTGTTTTGTGGTAAACAATTCATACATGCAAGTCAATCCACACAATTTTTTTTTTTTTGCCTTCGTAATCTTTAATCAAATTTTGAAAATGCCTCTCCCCTCTGCATTGGAGGACCTTGCCCGATGACGTAGGCTTTACGGTTTGGGTGTCCACTTAACATCCATAACCACGCCCTTCCAACTGACAGCTGCTGTGTGTTTGCGAGCGCCGAGCGAGCATTGATTGACAGCATGTGTAAACTTGCGTCATCCTCCATTTTTCTAAATCCAATCAGGTGCTAGTTGTAAAAAAAAGCCACGCCCACTATTTTGCCTCATTTAGTATTCCGTTTCTCGCAGAAATACGTCACAACAATGGAGAAAAGTCATTTGCAACTTCCGGTTCACGGGGACTTTAAGAAAACGAAACCGCACACACTTTGTCAAAAAATAATACCCCTTTATTTACAGGGCCAAACTGGACACAATATTAACTTATATCTTTAAACAATATAAATAGAAGTAACATTTGGTAATAATAAATAAACCAATATAAAATACAAATTCACATTTACTAAATATCAAATAAAACAATATTGTATCAAACAATGTAATAATACTGGAGATTGATAGAGATTACTAACAGGGCAGACTGATCTCATGAAGTAGCGTGTGTGTTATGCGTGTTATGACTGTTCCCTTCCTAGGTAAAAAAAAGATATGACTTACCTCAACCCCATCCCTAAACTTAACCGTAACTGGGGTAAATGGCATTTATGACTGGAGATTTGACGGCGTGTACAGACACGCGGAATGACGCGGACGTTAATGGTGTAGACATACACGCATACATGCGGATACACGCGTATAGCTCAAAATGCGTAGAGATAACACGCCACCTGACTCGAAAGTGAGTTGGGGTGACCAGTATGTTTGGGGTGACCAGTATGTTTACGCAAAAGTCATGATGTCATGTTGAACAGGGTAATATAATAGCGACATGGCTACAGGTTCCCATGTTTTGTCTGCTTGAACTAGTTGTGCAAGTTATCTGGTCATTTACTTTTTACGCAGCACTTAGCTTGGCGATTTTGGTATTTCGTTCCCACTGCGTCTTAGCTCGGGACCGGACCCTACTACTTTGACAATATTTTTTACCTTATTGTGGACCTGAATGTGTCCTCTTGGCCTGTGCAGATTGTGCACCATTTGCAAGAACAGGATGGAGGGAAGCAACCTGGAAGAATACCACAAACTGAAGAGGCGAGGAAGAGTCAGCTTTGATTACAGAGTGGATAATGAGGCAAAAGTGGCTTGTGCAGCTGCGAGTCCAGTGAAAGAAGTGAGGCGGTTCTCTAAAGAACAGAAGAAATGAGTTGGTGACCAGTCCAAACACTGACACACAATACAATGTCCACATGGGAGGAGTAGACCTGGCCGACATAATGGTGGCCTTACTGTACCCCTGCAAAATCCCATCGGTGGTACATGAGTTTGTTTTTGCAGATGGCTGATATAGCCCTAAACCAGGGGTAGGCAAGTTTGGTCCTAGAGAGCCACTGTCCTGCAGAATTTAGTTCCAACCCTAATCAAACACACCTGAACAAGCTAATCAATGTCTTCAGGATTATTAAGGCTATAGGTGAGGAGCCAAACTCTGCTGGAGAGCGGCTCTTGAGGACCAAACTTGCCTGCCCTAAACTATGGATGGCTTCTTTATTGCAGAGATGCAAAGAGTCTGGGTGAGGTAAAGCAAAAGAAGCTGAAGACATTCAGGCTGGAAGTTGCAAATGCACTCATTCATGCTGGAAAAATGAAGGGAAGGCCCTCAAAGCTGAGAGAGGATGATGTTCCCACCAAATACATCGAGCGGCCAGCAACACCAAGACCAGTGGAAGACATCCGGTACGACAAAGTAGACCACTTCCCGCCAAGTTAAAAATGCAAGAATTTTTTTTTTAAAAACTGTCACCCCCCTTTTTGAGAATATACATAACATGGCACTATCCAAATTTAAATGGTTGTAATTCAAGAGTGCTTTGGAATATAGATGTAAGTTTGGTCTTGTTTTAAAAAACTGAAAATATGAAAAAGTTATGGAAGTTAAAATGTACTGTAAATCAACTGTACTCTCCTAAATGTTTAATATTAGTTAATATTTAATAAGTAAATAACACATTTTTACTCTAAAATACGGTCAAATCAAAGCCATGTGTCTTACCAATGTGTGTTCCAAATTTGAAGTTAATATCACAAAATTTTGTTTAGGGGCTGTACCAAAAATAGCCACCGGGTATTTTTTTTATGCATTCTTCTGTGACCAATTTATTCATTTCAGTCTCAATTTCACAAATCATTTGGCAGATATGGAACCGTGAGACCGACGATATGTGTTCTGTCAAGATTAGAAACGTTTTTTTTTTATTAAAAAGTAGTTGAAAGTCTGAACAAAACCTGTCGCCATCCACTTGGTGAGGAGCTTGCTAAAATCATTTAAAGTAACATTTTTATGCAAGATCTGATTTTAAAAGGCTGAATTCACAGATTCCGATTCACAGGCTGAATCTTGAGTTCGTAAGCTTTCGAATGATATATAATTTGTCATCATTAGATCAGATGAAGTGTAGGATATAATTTTTTAAACATACAGTGGCAAGTGGGCCAGTAACAGTTAACAGGTTAATGACTTGGTCATTTTTTATACCCTAATCAGACAGACAGACAGCTTGTTTGTTTCCTTAATAACATCCAGACACTGGATCTCACTTGTCTTCTACAGATCTTTAAGATGGTTATGACTATTCCTGTACATACCATTTTAATTGGACCATGTAGACTGAGGATTGAACGGGGGTTCTTAGCATAGCAGTGATCTGGAAGGCTATTCATCTTTCGGACAGGAGGAAAATCTGACAACCCACATCTTGACTTATAATAATGGTCTTATCATATCCGTAGGGCTGAAAAATGACCCTTTTCTTGGACAAACAAACCAGGAGAGCTTTGTACCTGGCGGCAGCTGCACACTTGATTCACCATTACAGATGAACCAATGGGAAACCCGGCCGGCGGCATTCGAGAACACATCTACAGGCTACTGTTACGTTTTTCATGTTGGTCTGTCCACAGAATGCTCAATGACCAGGTTGCCTGGTAACAGAAGAAACCTTGTTCTCGCAGTGTTGCTGAAACTACTTGTGTATAAGCATCAAACACAATCAACAGATGGTGGATTTCATCTGGTCTTGTTTCACACATTCTTTTCTACCTAATTACGTATGTTTGCAGCTGTACTGATTAATCAGGCTTGTGTTTCAGGTCAGCAACTTTCGACAGGTTAGAGGAAACAGGCTCCTAATTGCTTGAGGGGAAATGAAAAATGGCCATCTTTTATGTTCCCGAAAAAACATCGCTGCAGCTCCATCCTTCATTGCCGTCCAGCTGTTTTTCTGTCTACAGATTTTCACAATGTTGAGGTTAGCAAGGATGCTAACTTTTGAATTTGTTTACAACCTTCACTAACTGAAAAACAATAAGACATTTTATTTGTATACTGTAGATGTATGAAGACCAGTGAAGATCATGGAGAAGGGGAGTTATGTTAACACTACGTCTAATCTAGGTGAGCACTCCTTGATTGTGGCTGCATTTTAAACATACTGTATCCTTTTAATGTTTTTTTTTTGTTTTTTTTTGCTAAGTCAATTAACAAGGCATTGTAGTAGTCCGAACGAGAAGTTGTTAGTGCATGAACAAGGGTTTGAGGGCCGGATTGAGGGAGGAACGGAGACGTGCAATATTACTCGGGTGACAGAGTTTTTAACAACAAAGCAATATGAAAGAGAGGAATCAAATAAAATAACAAGATTACGTAAAGGGGAGGAGGGTTTAACAAGAACCCCATATATGCCATATATGCTTTACGCAACTGAGGTGAACCAATCAGACATGCATTTCTTAATCTCAGTAAAACATTAAGAAAGAAAAGACAGGCATATTGACATCAGGTTTTGAATGTATATAGATCTGAGTGTCATCGGCATAAAAGTGAAAGTTAAAGGGTTAGTTCACCCAAAAATGAAAATTCTGTCAGTATTTACTCACCCTCATGTTGTTCCAACCCCGTAAGACCTTCGTTCGTCTTCAGAACACAAATTAAGATATTTAAGATATTAAGATCGCTCCTGCATACAGTCCGTAGGCTTCTTGAGGGACTGGCTCTTGCTGTCCTCGAAAAGTCATTAAAGACATCGTTAAAATAGTCCAAGTGACTACAGGGGCTCAATCTTAAGTTTATCAAACGACGAGAACACTTTTGTGCGCAAAAAAACAACAAAAATAACGACTTTATTTCAACTATTCACTTCCTTCTCCATGAGCCTGTAAGTCAATTAACGTAGTGTGATTGCGTAAAGCTACGTCACACGTAGGCTCACTATTGGCCGACGCTGGTCATGTGTGTGTGATGCGTGTGACGTACAATAACAGAAGCTTACGCTATTAAACTAGTAACCTGACTCGCGCAGAGGGAGAAATAAACGAATAGTTGAAATAAACTCGTTATTTTTGTTGTTTTTTTGCGCACAAAAGTGTTCTCGTCGTTTGATAAACTTAAGATTGAGCCCCTGTAGTCACTTGGACTATTTTAACGATGTCTTTAATGACTTTTCGAGGACAGCAAGAGCCAGTCCCTCAAGAAGCCTACGGACTGTATGCAGGAGCGATCTTAATATCTTAAATATCTTAATTTGTGTTCTGAAGACGAACGAAGGTCTTACGGGGTTGGAACAACATGAGGGTGAGTAAATACTGACAGAATTTTCATTTTTGGGTGAACTAACCCTTTAAGACCAAGTGTTCTTAAAAGTTGGCCAACTGGAAAAATGTAAATACTAAAGAGTAACGGGCCCAAAACTGATCCCTGGGGAACTGATCAGACTTGCCATCACAACAAACATAAACCCATCACATAACCTTTTTGTGGGTCACAGAGCTTATTTTCAGCAATAATCTTAAAGCCAATGGAAAAAGTCATATTGGGTGTTTGTCGAGGGAATCAGGATGATGCTAACATGGTCTACAAAAGTAGCTTTCTATTGGTCAACGCTGAGAATCCATGTGACCAACTTGAACCATTTGCGAAATCCACGATTGGAAATAATTTGCTCTTATGCGAAATTGCAGATCATGTGGATTCCTATATATATATATATATATATGACTATTTCAGCCATGAAAATGTGATAAACCACACTACATGTGACAGCACCTTAATATATAGAATTATACTTTTCACCATTGTATATCAAAGTAATTTGCGTTACATTTATATGTATTTAAACAAAAGCATAATAAAACAATACGCATTTAAGTACTAAAAAATCCAAAACAAAAATCCCACCCTACTTCATGTTGTGAGATTTGTAGCAGACAAAATAACACCATTTTGGTGTTGTCTCTGGGGACACGACAGCGATGTACTAAAAACGGAAACGTTTTCTCATTTTGCGTTTTCCACGTCCAGACGACAACAATGACCGTTCACACGAATTCGCACACAAAACGACTAAAAACACTCTATTCTTCATGCCAGGCCAGTAGATGGCAATGCCACTTTGCAAAGAAACACTACCCGTCCATAGACTGAACACATAATACACATGCGCACAGCATTTTTGTAGTTTACATAGAGAAAATAACGGTATCGTTTTCAAAAACTTGCACTTTCAACCCTGTTTTCAAAAGTTTATGTTTTCAGGCTCCCAAATCGCCATAGTTATGTAAATGAACGGGCAAAACGTACAAATAGTTTTTATTTGAAAACGATATGTAAACAGTAGCTGCTGCTCGCATTAGCATTTGGCTCCCATTAGCATTATAAGCTAGTTAGCTCTTTGTCTGGCTAAACGTGAGATCTGTAAGGCTATACTCGAACTAAACTTCCTTTTTTTTTCACGGAAATACAAGCTTCAACATTTAAGGCTCAATGTATAGTGATATTTTCCATGGCGAAGTTGATTTGAAAGACAGGACGACCTTTCGAGGCAAAAGGTCATCCTGTCTTTCAACTCAACTTTCGTTGTTTTTGTCAGTCATAGATCTGAAGCTATACATGGTCCAATCTCACCTGCGTAAACTCAGTCCTGTAATTGCCTACTGTCACACTTTGCCACGTCGCTCCCCCTCAGATCCAGCTCTCAAATTGGAATGCGGAATGGGATTGCGAGGAGGCGGCGGTGGAGACAGTGCCGATTTCGGCATGAAATATCAACGTCCGGGAAGGTCACAACAGTCATGGCCTCATCTGTCAGCTGGGTTTTCAGCTTCAGTCTAATGCTGGCCCTTCATAGCAAGCCTGAAGGCAACAAATGAACCTCCATCAATCATGCTCACCGAAGCTTTAGCCGTTCCTGTTGAATCAAAGTTATGAAGGAGGTACGAATCAGGAAACGATGACCCTTCCACCTGTGGCTGAGACCCTATTCGCAAAAATTACAGGAGAAATGGAAGCGGTTTTGCACCATATTGCTAATAAAGAGCCCTGTGAAATATGTATGCCATAAAGGGCTACATTTAACCGTTGATCAAACTGCGTCATGATACATTTGCAAGTAATAGACGCGCTGTGTCGTGGAATGTGTGCTGTGTGTTATTTAGAGGTTGGGAGATGAAAAACACTGCTTGGGGAGGTAGAAACAGCCAGGGCAATAACCCTTTTTATTAGTGCAATTTATCAGATGCGTCACATGACTTCTTTTATACCTTTTCTTTCAATACCTTCCGCCTAAACGTCAAAAAGGCAAGAGTGTGTGGGTAAGTGACAGTCTTTAAAATTTTTTTTTTTTTTTTAATATTTAACAAATGCATTTCATACCTGTATGCAATGCCCTAAACCTTTAAGATTATCATGTTTTTAATTTCTAAATGAAAATTTAGGGTAATATTTTGAGGCATAAAGTCAAGGTTTTTTAATAACAATTAAATAAATTCTTAGTTTTGTAGTGTTGCATCCTTTTTTGAGAATGAATATTTAAAATATATACATATACTAAGAAAACTGTTTAACTTCTTGTTAAAGGTTTGTCATGTACTGTAAGTCATAAATAAAACTAAACATAGAAGGACACTCATGGCTGTTCTTTTTTTCAAGGCCAAAAAAATATTAAACATTTTCATTAATTAATTAATTCATCCACCATGGAATAAAATAAAATAGCAATTTAGAGAAAAAAAAATACATTAAAATTTGCACTCCCACATGTTTACAAAATGTACAGAAAATTTGTTGTTACATTTTACTGTCATTAAATTTAAACTCTCCTTGTTTTTTTTTTGTTTTTTTTTCTTAAACCATATAAAACTAACATTAGACTACATTTCTAAGAAATATCTAGAGTCATGAAACTCTAGAGGGCGCAGGCTGATGGTCCTTTACATGCATTCTGCAAACATTCGCATCATTACCGCTTGACAAGAGCTGATTAGCCTCTGCTGATCTTGCAGCCAATGAGATGCTTGCTCAACATTTTAAAGTGATATACTGAGAAATCAAATTTTCCTTGAGCTTTTGACATTTAAAGGACAAGTTGGGTATTTTACAATTAAAGCCCTGTTTTAAGATCGTCCCTGATGAAATAGAATAGTTAAGATTGTTTTTTAGAAAAATGCTCCTGTCACGATAATTTTTGGATTCTTTGTTAGCACCCCCCCCCCCCCCACCTTTATAATGAAAGCATAGGTGCACTCGAACAATCATTCATTAAAACGCATAAAACTTTAGTTTACAAAGACGTGAAACTCACCGAGTGGTCTGGGGTGTTCACTGATATGCTCACACAAAAATCGCTGCAAAATATGCTTTCCAACAGGTTTTATCGTAGTTTTTGTCCGACTTCATTTTCTTCCTGTTTTTGGTCGAAGTCCACAGTAGTCGATTATCGAGTTTGCGTGCGCGATCCTTAGTTATCTAGTTACCAATGATCGCGCACGTGAACTCTACAGTTTACTACTGTGGACTTCGACCGAAAACAGGAAGAAAATGAAGTCGGACAAAAACTACGATAAAGCGATTTTTGTGTGAGCATATCAGTGAACACCCCAGACCACTCGGTGAGTTTCACGTCTTTGTATACTAAATTTTTATGCGTTTTTATGAATGATTGTTCGAGTGCACCTATGCTACCATTGTAAAGGTGTGTGTGTGTGGGGGGGGGGGGGGTGCTAACACAGAATCCAAAAATTCTCGTGACAGCAGCATTTGTCTAAAAAACAATCTTAACTATTCTATTTCATCAGGGACGATCTTAAAACAGGGCTTTAATTGTAAAGTACCGAACTTGTCCTTTAAGAGGTCATCGTATTATAAGAATATCCTGTAAGATTCAGAACTGAAAACGTCCTTGTTAGTCCAATAAAAGCTTTTATTGACACCAGCCACGACCAGCAAACGACTCGTTTTTCAAAGTGGGGAACTATGACGTCAAAGAGGATAAAACACCACCCCTGCAGAAGAAGATCAACACGCCCGGTTTAGCCCCGCCCACCGATTCGCGCATTACACGTGTAGCTAAATAACATAGCCTACCTTGTAATGACAAACTGGATCGAACTACCGAGAAATAC